TATTTAGCTAGCTACCTAAATATTTAGCTAAAATATTTAGCTACCTACCTAAATATTTAGCTTGCAACTTAAATATTTAGCTAGCTACCTAAATATTTAGCTAAAATATTTAGCTACCTACCTAAATATTTAGCTTGCAACTTAAATATTTAGTTAACAAGCTAAATATTTAACTTATGACTTAAAAATTTAGTTTTGAGCTAAATATTTATCTTGTGACTTAAATATTTAGTTAACAAGCTAAATATTTAACTTGTGACTTAAATATTTAGTTTTGAGCTAAATGTTTAGCTTGCAACTTAAATATTTAGCTTGAAACTTAAATATTTAGTTAGCAACCTAAATATTTAACTAAAATATTAAGGTAGCTAGCTAAATATTTAAGTTAAATATTTGGGGTGGCTAGCTAAATATTTAACTTGCTAGCTAAATATTTACATTGCTACCTAAATATTTAAGTTGCTAGCTAAATATTTAAGTTGCAAGCTAAACATTTAGCTCAAAACTAAATATTTAAGTCACAAGTTAAATATTTAGCTTGTTAACTAAATATTTAAATTGTAAGTTAAATATTTAGTTTATAAACTATGACATTTATAAATGTATGAATCATATGGTGAAAAACTGACTTTGAAAAATAAGTATGTTCTTTTTTCTTATAAAAACCTAAATAAAACAAAAATATTGTTGGTAATTTTTGACTGTGTAACTTTACAAACGGCACCCCATATATGGCCCTTCTTCTTCTCTTCTTCCAGTGCCTCCCCAGATTGCAGCAAAGCCTCGAGACCAGATTGCAACCCAGGGGAGGAGCATCACCTTCCAGTGTGGCACCACGGGAAACCCCCCACCTGCCATCTTCTGGCAGAAAGAGGGCAGCCAGGTAAGAAACCAGAGACCTCCTCAGAAGAGTCCCGCTCATAAATCCTGGGATTTATGTGTCTGCGGTGGAGTTTTTGTCAACTTTACAAACACCTCGTGTTTCATATCAATAAGCAGAGTTTCACACTTTCAATTCAAAGGCGAGGATGACTCATTGCAACGTTCGCAGGTTTTGTCCGATTCCATCATGACACCTTTTTTTTGTTGTTTGTTTGTTTGAGTTGCCCACACTTCTCAAGACACATTTCCAAAAGACACAAATGCATTTCGCCACAGAAGTAGAGATAATATTTTCCAAGATGCTGCTGCGTTTTTTTATTTCCTTCCTGTTGGGTGGAATATGACGTGGGTGGAGGCATTTCGAGTTGGATGAAGGAGGGTTTACAGGAAGTACACCAGGTGCTGAAATTACTTCTTTGGGGCAAACCTGCAGACAAATTCTGGCCTTCTTCCACAAAAAAACTCAACCCTGAACATCATATCGCTTGGTTCTCAGCTGGGATCATTGACTCTGAAGAGAGGTTTTAGGTGTTCTCCCCGGGGGAAAAAAAAAAAAAACATTATGAACAAGCTTTGGTCTGCAAGATGCTTCTGGCTCGGCTGCGTGTAGAGTTTATTTTATTTATTTATTTTTTTGCTCTGTTTGTGGGATTATCTGTAGCCTTCTAACCTCGGTCCATCTATTGGGATCTAAGCCTCTTAGAGGAATGAAATGGATGGCTGAATGGACTGAAGCTTCCCTTCCCCCTTGTTTACATCCATGTCAGTAACAGAAAGAACTGGAGGAGACAACTATAGAGCATCTGCTGCTGGACATCGTCTTCCAAAACAAGAAACTCAACAGTTTCTGCTACTTTGTGTGATTTTTTTAAAAATGTTTGTTAATGCGGTGGTTTGTGCAATTTATATGATGGTATGGGAAAATCTAAATAATCTGATAAAATACAAGTGAACTGATTGTTCAGATTACTTATTTCTTACCTCCTTGAAAGGTGGGCAACATGCATAACAAAATTTGTCTGGCCCAGTTCTGGCCCACACAATGCACTGACAGTCTAACTCAGATACCATAATAAATGATGGCCCTATGGTGGCTGAAATGGAGTTTACCAGAGGATGTCCATGCATGGGCCAGCACCACGTAAACCAAACCACAACTGGGCCAGTAGTGGCATTGACAGATTGGGCAACATAAACCAAACCACAAATGGGTCAKTAGTGGCATTGACATATTGGGCAACATAAACCAAACCACAAACGGTCCAGTAGTGGCATTGACAGATTTGGGCCACATAAACCAAACCATAACTGGGCCAGTAGTGGCACTGACAGATTTGGGCCACATAAACCAAACAACAAATGGGTCAGTAGTGGCACTGACAGATTTGGGCCACATAAACCAAACCACACCTGGGAAAGTAGTGGCATTGACATATTGGGCAACATAAACCAAACCACAAATGGGCCAGTAGTGGCATTGACAGATTTGGGCCATAAAAACCAAACTATACCTGGCCAGTAGTGGCGTTGACAGATTTGGGCCACATAAACCAAACCACAACTGGGCCAGTAGTGGCATTGACAGATTTGGGCCACATAAACCAAACAACAAATGAGTCAGTAGTGGCACTGACAGATTTGGGCCACATAAACCAAACCACAACTGGGCCAGTAGTGGCATTGACAGATTTGGGCAACATAAACCAAACAACAAATGGGTCAGTAGTGGCACTGACAGATTTGGGCCACATAAACCAAACCACAAATGAGCCAGTAGTGGCATTGACACATTGGGCAACATAAAACAAACCACAAATGGGTCAGTAGTGGCACTGACAGATTTAGGTCACATAAACCAAACCACAATTAGGCCAGTGATGACATCTTACAAACAGTGCCATCATTGCCAGAACTGGCCCACATTTAGTTGACAAACCACTTGCCTGGCCAGCAGTGGGGCAGGCAACCAACAGTGTCAGCATGATACCAGTTCTGGCCCTCATCTGTCTGCTGTGTTGCTTTTTCTGTGCACATCTGTTAGCAAAATAGCTCATGAACCACAGGATAAACTTTAGTGAATCTCTCAGAAAGGAACAGTTAGATGAATGTCTACAACTGATTCAAGATGGCCGCCGCAGGTAATCAACCTTAAATAAACAAAAGATGCCCACATCTCAGTCACTTTACAGATATTGAGCTCAGATTCGATGTGGTAGTAGCTGAAAGCCTCCATCTCAACCATATCTGTTTGTCATCAAAATATCTCCACTGGACAGATTTTAATGAAGCTCTCAGAGAGAAATCATAGAATCATCAGATTGCATTTTAGAGTCACTCCAATTCAACATGGAGCCAGAGTGACAACTTTACACTCTAACTAATTTTGCAGACTTTAAGCCAGTGTTGACATGTAGTTGAGCATCAACTAAATTATTAACTTATCCTAAAAATGGACTATTTTAAAACTTTGAGATAAACATTGACAGAAGAAATGCCTTCCTCCTTTGTTGTAATGTCACTCAAAATTATTTCACCATAAAGCTGCACCTCTTTACAGACTTTTAGAAAAATTAGCAAATTAAATGTTTCACGTCCTCTTAAACTAGAATGAGAAAGTCATAAATGTTGCAGTTTCTGCATATTTTAAAAGGAAACAGTAACTTCAATTAGTCACCAAAGCCCTTATTCTTTGAAAAATTAATGCAAAGTAAACATTTTCATTCGGTGTCCAAGGCTACTGACGAGACTAAAAATAACAAAAAAAATTATGGATTGAAATAAAAAGATGCACACATAAAACGTGCACTTGACACAATTATTTCACATCTTTAAAATGAAATAAAAGGTCTCATTTGAAGCTTTAGGTTTTGTTCAATGTTTGAATTAAACACTGAGGCTTGTCTTCGTTTTGTTGGTTGGTGGAAACACCGGAGCTGCCTGAAAACATCAATAGATTTAAAAAAAAGCTTTCAAACTGTTTTAAACTTTCCCTGCGATAAAACTACTTCTGATGTGAGAGAGAGGAGACACTCTGTGGGAGACGAATGCAAAGGAGGGGAAAAACARTAAATGAAAAAGCTTCAGGCTGATGTGGAGCTGTGAGGATTTCAYGCTGCAGTTTCTGCTTTATTTTGAACCAAATAAAGGTTTAAGGGTGGGGAACACTGATACTGATAGGAAAGAATAATATGTTTTGTGGTGGTGGGGGGGGATGCTCAGTACTTCTCAAAAAATTGTTGTTGTTTTTTTCAATTCCGTCCTAACGTGTTGCATCAATTTGTTTATAAGCAATAAAAATGCAACTSAAGGACAGAAGCCTGAAGGAAAATCTGGTCAAGGTTGGAGCGTCTTTGAGGAGAAGTCCCTGAACGTCTCGAAACAATGATGAAATAAAAACAATAAATAAAACAGACCACTGAGGCATTTTTGAGCAAAGTGTCAGGTGTCTAAAAATCTGTTTGAGGGGAAAATGTGTTTTTTTTTATACCAAAACAGGCAACTGAAAGCTGACATTCTGCAACACTAAATCTGACCGACAGTGATGCTTGACCTAAAAACTAACAAAATGAACAAGATGAAATATACAACAGTAAAACATTAATTAATAAAAGATTGTAGATTATTTTATTTTAAAAAGCTGATTTTTCTAGATTTGAAAAATTCTGTACTTAAAATAAAACATACAGCTCTTTGTTGTTCCATTACAGCTGGAAAAAACCATTAATATGCTCACAAATACCTGACATTTGTTGCATTAACTCCATAAATGTAAACATGTGTCATTATATATGCCTTTTACAAAAACACAAGTAAAATAAAGAAATGCAAATTTGAGAGATTTAGAGTTTTAGAGATTATGTTTTGTTGAGAATTGATGAAGTTGTGGCTATTAGGTCAAAACTTAAAATGTTAAAAATTTTGGGCACCATTTAAAATGGTTAGCAACTGGAATAAGTGATGAAAAGCAGAGGTTCTCAAACTGGGGTCCCAGGACCCCCCAGGGGTCAACGAGCCCTATCTTGAGGGTCCTCCAAAAAATTCAATAAAGTTTTATTTTGGATTTAATTTTAAAAATGAATATGGGGAACGGTACACTAGTACTTTGTAAAACAAACATACTAAACCAAACAAAAAAATATATTATCTTAGTATTTAGGGGTTAAAATGGCAGTTTTAGGGTTTATGAGGGGGTCCCTGGAAATTTTTTACACTTGTAAGGGGTCCCCAGACCCAAAACATTTGAGAACCCCTGATGTAAAGGACTCTCAGCTACTACCTCAACTAGTAAAATAATGAAATAACTGTGAAATTAACTGAATTGTGGCCGTTGTTGTGTTTGCAGTGTGTTGGCTGTGGTCGGCCTCGTTGATTTGGATTGGCTCTAAAAGTTAAACATGTTAAAGCCTGTTTTATTCTGTGTACTTGTGTATTTAGATGCTGCTGTTCCCAGGCCAGCCTCCATCTCAGTCTGGTCGTTACTCGGTTTCCATGGCTGGAGAACTGACCATCACGGACGTTCACCCCGAGGACTCTGGGTTTTATGTCTGCCAGGCCATTAGTGTAGCAGGAAGCGTGTTGACGAAGGCGCTGCTGGAGGTGGAAGGAGGTAAGACTTTGATCCACAGTCACGTTTCTGCCTGGCAGAGGTTTATTCTACACCATCAGCTAATAAGGGAAACATACTTAGTAGGTGCACAACAACAAGGCTCACAGAGGGAGAACACAGTTAGAGACCCCTTGCTGGATAAGCAATGAGTTGGTGATTTAATGTTTTTCCTCAAGCAGCTTGTAAACAACAGATTTATTCTTTCTTTAGTCCTCCTTATGCTGCTTCTTTCTTTCCAGCTGCTTAGCCTCTATTTCTCAGTTGATACTTAAAGTTCAGATATTTTTAAAGTGTGGTTCTGTGGAAAGTTAGGAGCCGTGAATGTCTTACCTGCTGTAGATAGCTTTTGATTTGCCTCATTATTGAGCAATAAGAATTGGATTTTGATCAGATTGATGAACTAACATCTAGCTTGACTGTTGTTTTTAATCAATTTAAAAATATTCTCATAAAAACTCAGCACCAAAAATAACCCAAAACACTGTAGTGACCATGTCACGCCTGCATGTGGAGCTGTAACTGCAATAAACTGTAAATATAAAATGTCTGACAGGAAGCTGGATGTCAAGGCCGAGCTGGTTCCAGTACATGTTTCAAATCCCGCCCCGTTAAATGTAAATGAACTTAACATTACTCTTGATAAATAAATAAATAAATAAATAAATAAATAAATAAATAAAAACTGCACTTCAATTAATATCTTTTAGAAGGTACATAATTACGTTTTTTCTGTTTGTTCAATATTCATTTTACTATTTTGTTTATCTGTAAAATAAAAGGTCATGTGATAACATGATTGTGTGTGAGGGAAGTAGGCGGGACTTAAAGCTTGATACTGTGGTCTGCAGACTCTAAAAATACAAGATGGCAGTTCCCATATCCTGGATTCTGTTGACTTCAATTTGACCAGCAAGAGAAGGTCTACAGTATGGTCTAAACCCCAGCCTTACATCCCTAGAGTTTAAGCATGGGTTTTAAAAATTAAAATTGTCAGGACACCTAAAACTGGACACTTTGGCTACAATTTTGGGCAATAAGAAATTAGACGTCACTTTGTTCTTTTGTGCCCATACTGATGGCTCTTATTAGCTATTTGATTAAATCACTATCAAACTCCATTTTTCTACAATAAGGTCAATTAAAATCTTCCTGCAACAGGTAAGACACTACTTGTTCACAACTTTACTAGAGAACTACACTTCAGACGATCTGAACTACCCCTTTAACAGCTTGCAAGTTTATATTTGTATTTTTAGAGCCTGTCTGAGCCTTCCAAATGTGTTTTTCTTCTATTTTCCTCCTTGCAACAGAGATAAACCTGCCCCTAACATAATATTCTGCCTTCTCTCCTCTAAAACTGTCAGGTCCTTCAGGTCGTATCCCACCGATCATTCGGCAAGGCCCGGCCAATCAGACTTTATCTCGTGGCGCGACGGCGCTGCTGCATTGCCGTTTAGTTGGAGGTGTCTCTGTCAAGATCTCGTGGGAGAAGGATGGAGAGAGGCTTCAGGGAAATAAACCTCGACTGACCTTGATGGAGAACGGCACGTTGCAAATTACAGATCTAAAGGTGTGTGTGTGTGTGTGTGGAGCATTTATTGGAGAGGGCTTGAAAAGGATGGGTTCTGAAAGTCAGCCGTGCTCAAACGAAAAGGAAAAGTGACTGATAGAAACCAGAAAAACCGTGGCRAATAATAGGATCTCTGACCTCTCGTCACCTCCTCGGTGACAGAAATTTTTATCTCGTCTCCATCAGAAATTCCATTTTCTGTTGGTARAATTAAGGTGAGTTTCAAAGATGGGTCTGTGCATTATCTCTGCGGCGCAATTATGTGCTCATGCGGTGTGTAATTGTAATGTTAATGAAGGGGCTTGTTTATAAATGCTAATGTGCTCCGGTTTGATGGAAGAGGATTCAGAAGCCCCTTTGTCTTGTAGCCCCAGGCGGAGGTCAGTGAGCATGCTCAGGACGGTGCAAAAGTAGCATCCATTTCGTTAATTGACCAGTGATAGCTGATTAATTATCTAACTGGCTTTTAATTAAATCTCCTGGCTGTGCTTTGCTTCTTCCCCTCCTCCTCCTTCCCCCCCCTCCGCCCGGCTTGTTTCCCAGCAGCAAACTTGGAGCATTAAGGTTTGGTCCGATGCATCACGGAGGCAAGGGAAATCTGCCATGCCAATGTGCTCAATGGAACAGAAGAGATGCATTAGTGTGGCATCAAGGGGTTGACATGCGGATGGGGGTGGGGAAATGGAGATGACGAGCGAAGACCTAAAAATATTCACCCTGCCGATGGCCCTATGCGCCATCAATATTTCAGCAGTAGTTGGAGCCATCTAAAAAAGTTCACCTGCCGCACGCTGCGCGGTCTGTCAGCCAGAGGTCAGCGCTGCAGAGGATGAGCTCATGTGGGCCCACGGTGGTTCCAGCAGGCTGGCTCCCGGCCAGGACGGGGGCCGCAGCAAACAGCAGCAGTACCAGCCAGGCGTGCGGGCACACACACATGTTGTGATGTAAACAGGCAGGCAGGTTAAAGGCAGGAATGCAGAAGCGAAGCTACGAAACGAAGTACGAAATGGACAGCATGTTTTAATAGCTGTAAAATTCTGAGTTATACCTATTTTTGCGTGGGCTAATGTTGGTTAGTTGTTATGTGCGTCTTGAATTGGGTCAATCACAAAGGGGAATTGGTTGAGGAAATACATCACAACACAATGTTTATTTTATTTATTCATTGTTTTACTAAGAGACAATGTGTAAATTCAGAGGTTTCACATTTGTCGGCTGCTTTTGTCACTGCACAGCCCGTAGGCTGTCTCATTCCATGGGCTCCTTTTCGTGTGGCCAAGAAAATCCCAAAAACTTTGGCTGCATCTGAGTATCCTACWCTGAAAAAAATAAAYTGTAAGATTTACTTGAAAAAATCCTCATAACAATTTGCACTAATGTTTGTTAAGGAAATTTAAATGCTACAAATTCATGTAATATTTACTCATCATCATCTAGTAAAAGTTATTAAGAATATAGTTAAAGATTTGTGAATAAATCAGGTAAATGTTACTTAATTTGCTCAATTAAATCTTGTAACATTGTTTACAGGATTTTCTCTAATAAATTTTACAAGTTCTTTATAACAGTGCACATGCGTCAAACACAATATTGTAGCATGACACCTCACAGCTACAGAGAGAGGTGTAGCTCTTGTTGTAGTTCAAGTCTTCACCACCAGGGGGTGGTTTTGAAGAATGTTTATTGGATTCTTCTTCATGAACAACACAGACAAAGTGAAACTCACAGGTCTTATTAATGACTAGGCCTACCACTCTCAC